AGGCTGGGGGCTTCAGCCCTGTCAGCAGAAATGCTAATGGCCTACCTAGTTGAGGCCAGAAAACGCATCTAAGGGTCACTGGAATTGGACGTGGCTTGCATTCCAATGGTTCACAACTGACCTTGAGGGGCTATGAGAACAACTGGAGGTATGAGGTGGGAATTCTGTTGTTAATACAAATATTCTTATCATTACAACAGGCCGCTTTAGCACGGGCTGGGGAGATCCAGCTGGCTGGTTCCTCTGCTTTGGGAGTTTTGTGCAGATGGGCATTGGGCAACCTCACATGCAAGCAATAAATTGAGATGATGACTCTGTCTGAGCTGTGTCTCTGCAATGCTGGGTACCATGCCCCTTAAACTGCTAGAGGTCAGAGAGCAGGAAGAACCTTAGTTTCCACAGAATTAGAGTCCAGGGTCTGGGGAGCTTCTCAGGATGGATTATGTATGAGAATGTTCTTGTTTGTTTGTGTGTTTATTTGTTTGTTTGGTTTTGGTTTTGTGAGACAGGGTTTCTCTGTGTAGCTTTGTGCCTTTCCTGGAACTCACTTTGTAGACCAGTCTGGCCTGGAACTCACAGAGATCCGCCTGCCTCTGCCTCCCAAGAGTTGGGATTAAAGGCGTGTGCCACCACCGCCCAGCAAGAATGTTTTTAAAGTGAGGACAGTAGCTAAACAAAAAGCTGGAGAGAGAATCAGTGCAGTTCTCAAACAGCAGCGATGTTGCAAGCACAAACCTCTAATCAAACCCAGAAATATAGAATAACTTTTAAAATCACACAGCTTCAGTGTGGTGGAACCAGGACTTGAACTCAGTTCTGACTTACTCTGTGTCTGTCCGCAGGCACTGCAGACTGCCTGAATGAATGGTCTGCTATAGACAGGTGGCAGGGATTCCTGGAAATGCTGGCTGCTCCTTCACCAGTAGAGGCTACGTGAGAGGGCACTTACCCTTTGGGGCTCAGTCTTTAGCTGTGATGGCTGCTGTGGTCAGGGACAGTCCCCTTGCCCGGCTGCTAGGAGCACACAGAAGACACAGTCCTGCTGGGGGAAGGGCTGAGCACACACAAACCTGTACACTATATGTATGTTCTCAGAAGATGGGTTCCCAGTGGACATGGAGAAGCTGACACCGATACACAGTTATCACCATGGCAGGCTGTGGAGCAGCCTTCAGATCATGCCGAGGGTTAAATCTCCCCTTTGCTTCCTGTATGGTCCCACCTCCTCCATCCTCCCAAACCTGCAAATCTAAAACCCTGATTGCAGTACAAAGTGAACCCCTGCTGGACAGTTGGCATCTGGGCCCCTCTCCTCCAGCATCAGCATCAATCCTCATCCTTATAGCCCTGTGAGGCAGACAACATGAGTCTCATCTGTCTGAGGGAGGCTCGGTGGCTTGCTTGGCCAGTTTCTGCAGCAAGGTGTGGGAGCAAGGAGCAGCCTTGTTCCTGGATCATTCAGCTTTGACCTTGGACTTGTCTCCACCTCTTACTGTCTGCAGCCAGCCACTTTTGGTGGGGAGCCTGGCCAATGATGCACACAGAATGGGTGGAGAGAGTCCAGCTCCAACCCACCCTTTTCTGTTGTTGAAAGGGAGAGAGATCGAAGGACCCCTCTCATGGGACTTCCATCCAGCTCTTTCTATGCCTCCTCCAGAAGTTTGGAAATGCTCACTGAGCAATGGATAAGGGCCAGATGTGGTGCTAGGACCTTGACATACAGCTTCCCCTGAGTGAGATAACAGTTGTTTCTTCTTGCATAGAATGACAGCCCTGAGGCTCAGGTGGTTTGTTAGCTTCCCTGTGAGTGTGCATGGGGTGGTCTCTCTGCAAGGCACTGTGGCTGATGTGGAGTGGTGTATGGGGACTAGGGCTGGGCTTGCACTCCAGTGCAAAAGCCAACTGCTCACTTTCCAAGAATTCTGTGGGCTACTTTTTAAAGACAGTCATCATTAAAAATTAAATTTTATTGCCTGATTATTAAATGCTTTTACATCAAAAAACGAAGGCAGTAAATCCCCCAGACTCATCCCTCTCAGTGGTTTGGTTGCTGTCTGCGGCACTGGAGTCATACAGCTCTGCTGCAGCCCATGCTAGGCATGCAGATGAAACAACACATATTGGTTTGCTATGCGCATCGCTCTTCAGTGTCCTCTTCCACGTGGTCATACATACAGGAGCATGAAATCAGCCACAGCGGGAGCATTTTCACAGCAGCAGCTACAGACCCCTACTGCTCTGTGAGTCCTGGAGACCACGCAGGCTGTGTACTTCGCAGACTGCCCTGCCAGGGAGGCCTTGGGCATGTCTTAGATCAGCACTGGGCCCAGGGACAGGTGTCTGGGTAGTTCACAGGGTCCTTCAGTGGTAGGAGAGGCAAGGATCTCCCATGGCCTCTTTCATACAGTGGATATAAAGTTATGCTGCCCAGATTGGGGCTGGGACAGGGGCTGGGCTGTGGGAAGCTGGAGGAGGTTGGAGAATCCTCCCACAGGGCCCTGGAAGGAGCTTGGCGCTGTGGACTCCTTGACTCCTGGACTCCGAAGCTGTTAGACAGCAAGTTTCTGTTGCCTTAAGCTGTGGTACTCTATCATGGCTGCCTTTAGCAAGCAAAGAGACCTCCATAGGACCGAACCCTCACAAACTAAGGTGTTAGGTAAGCAAAAAGAATACAGGAAGTTACTCAAAGACTTGTTTACCTGTGACTGTGGCAGATTCAGTTGCTATAGGCCAAAACTGAAAATTAGCCAAGGGCCCAGCAATTAATAAGTGGGTATACTAATTATTGTGTCTTCTACTATGGAATACTATCCAGCAATGAAGAGGACTGGCCCGCAGGTCCGTGAGTAACACAAATGAATCTCAAAGACATTATACAGGAGACAGCAGCCAAGGAGAAAAATCTGCATGTAGAATAATTCCATCTGCGCAAAATTCTATAAAAGGGAAATTGAAGCTCTAGGAATGAAAGCTCAGAGAGCTTTTGGGGTAACGGGAACACCTATATCCGGATTGTGGCTGCGACAGAAGCCACACATTTATAGAAACACTTCCAATGGGTGCATCTTATTCCGCACAAATCAGTGCTCAGCACAGTTGTCCTAAAGAGGAAGAGCTGCCTGCTCTGGTGACAAGGGGCTGAAGTGTCATCACCCAAGTGAGTCATGGGCTCTTGGGAGAAAAATCTATTCCCCTCCGTTCTGCTGAAAGGGGCACACTGTGTGGGCCCACTGGAAACCTTGAAGAGATTTTTCAGAAAGGTGTTCTTCATGGCTGGTCTCCAGGGAGGATGGGTTTCCTCAGGGGGCTCTGGGAAGAGGGAGATTAAGTGAAGGCTAACCTCAGGCACTTCTAGCTTACCAGGCCCCTGTGGGGAGGAGGCCTGAGTGCACACCCTGGGGGACAGGTGACTGGGATGCTGGTACTCCTGGCAGGGCTTATTTATTATGTGCCATGTCTACAATGAACATCTTCTGGAGGGAGTGACCTCGGACCATTGCAGGTGGGTCATTTTGCCTAGACTTCGAGAGCCCCCCGCCTTTTACCATATGTCAGGCCTCAGTTTCCACACCTATCAAAGAAGCGCCTGGTGTTGGCTTTGAACTGCCATTGTAAAGAATTAGCTAGGTAAAGTGTGTCAAACACTTAGTGCCTGTAGCAGAGATGAAAGCCTGGTAAAAGGAGCTTATTGGTAACCTGAGTGATTGAAAAGCCCACAGAGGGTCCTTGTGGAAGCAGAACCTGGGAAGATGAACTCGTCACCCACCTTCATCCTTCCAGGAAAGACGGGACAGATGGGAGTCCTGGCAGATACCATCTGTTTCCAAACACCATTTCTGGCAGGGCGTGTCACAAAGCAGAACCAAACCTGCTTATTTTCCCCAACCTTAGAAGGATGGAGTTCTAATTGGGTGGGTCTCGGGGGTCCCAGGTGCCTGAGTGAAGAAGCTGATTCTTCTGGATGGCGAGCCACCAAGCATCCTAAGGCAGAGAAGGATCTTACCTCATACTAACTCAATGTGTGAGCTGAAGGTAACATGTTAGCCTATTAAAAGAAGCCAATTGCAAGATATACTGCCTGTGCCCTTCTGCCCCCAGCTAATGGAAGTCTCCCTTCAGCATCTTCAACAGGCTCTGGAGCTCTGCCAGTGCTTGGAGGGGTCTTGGCAAGGCAGAGTCCATGAAGGCTGCACTTCTGTGCATTCCTCTGTATGCAGAGAGGAAGAGGGGTTTCACAGACACCAATAGCCTTGTCTTCCTGGGCATACATGCATGAACAGAAAACCATGCATTTTCCCTTCCTTATTTTGTTTCTTTTTTCTCTCACCTTCTAAAGTAATGCATGTGAAAAACAATCACTAGCAGAGACCTGTGTGTAATGAGAAAGGGAAAGTGGAGTTTCAGCCCCTACTCTGACCAAGTGACAGCTCTGGGTCTGCACCCCCTGTCCCTGGGTGTGCATTGCTGTTTGTGATCCTGCTTGTACATCTCTGTGTGTATGTGTGTCCATGCACAACCACAGAACTTTCCAGCACAAAGAGAACCAGACTGTCCCCAGCATCCTCCTTCCCCCTTTCACCAGGTGGCTTCTGTGGCAGCACATGTAAATTCCCTCCTTTCTCCCTCAGGGATGCGACATGCCGGGTAATCTGCACAGACTACAATTTGTTCAGCCCATTGAGCTGTTTGGGGTGTTGCTGTCTCCCTTCCGTCTACAAAGCATTGTTTTTCCGGCTTGTGAAAGCTCCAGGGAAGGCGGAGGGCTATCCAGCAACAAGCCTCAGCTCGACACTGCCCTCAGTCACCATCCTCCCTCCACCCCACCCCGCCCCTCGTGGCTCTCCCCTCTCGGCTCAGCCTCTCCTGCCCTCGTCCTTAATAGCATGTGACACTTGGCACAAGAGCCACCCAGCCGCAGCGGAGCTTCGTTCTATCCTTGATGCGTTTCTTTAAGTGCTCTTGTTAATGTTTCATGATGGATGGTGGAGAAACCTGGGAAACGCACCAGCCTGGATTCTGAAAGTCTGTGCACTAACTTAACGTATTCATTTATTCAGTGTGACAGCAGAGAGAGAGAAGTGCCGGAGTGCAGAGACAAGCTTCAGATGCGAGGGGGGGAGGAGGGACAGGACCAGCCTCTAGTAAGCCTCTCCCGCAAGGGCTAGGGATCTCACCATGCTTCCACCATGCTCTCACCATGTTCTCACCATGAAGAACATCCCATCTTGTATATGAGAAAAGAGAGAGGAAGCGACTTACCTAAACCCAGACAGACAGACAGAGCTGAGATTTGAACCTGGTGGCAAAAACCTCACAATATTTCCTATGTGCGGGGCCTATCCTGAGCTTCTTGTGTGTGTGAATATACTTGTACTTGTTTGAGAAAGGTGACCACAACTATACCCATTTCACAGGCTGGGAAGAGAGGCTCAGAGCTGAAGTCACCCTTGTGGTAATGCAGCCCTCGCAGGCAGAGCTGGCAGCTGAGCCCCCCAGGAGGCCTCTCCTGGGCAGAGCCACTCCCCCACCCCACCTCTTGCCTAGGGACAATTCAAGAGTGACCTAAGACATGGGCCGGCACTCTTGAGCTCCTCTGGGCCCCTGGTGGAGAAGGAAGAGAGCAGCTGCTCCTTGATGCATGTGCCGGCACCGGTGTTTTGAGAGACCTAGCTCGGGGTGGCTTTCCCTGCAGAGCCAGGGCAGTGTCGGCTAGACTTTCCACACTGTGTTTGTCTCACTCCACAGCTCCAGGCCAGGTGTCTCTCTAAATAGCAAACAGAAATGACAAAATGCAGAGCCCTGACAGAGGTTGCGGGGACATCCCCGCTTGGGGAGAATGAGGGCTGCAGGCGCTTTGGGGGCCTGAGTCGGCAATGGAGATGAGATCCCCAGAGGCGCCTCAGGCTGGTTTGTGCTGGGAACTCTCAAGCACAGCCTTTATCAGCAGAACAGCTAGCAAACCAAATGCAAAACCGAGGTGGGTGGCTGGATGTGCTGCGGGGAGCGAAAAGGAGGTCACTGTGGCAGTGTGCAGAGAGGAAGAGAGACCGCAGACATGGTTGTGGGGGGAGCCTGGCCAGGGCAAACCAGGGCTGCAAGTACGGGGCCTTCGATGAGTGTGAGCTGATCCCTCTGGCTGCTGACCGGTGAATAAAGGGTGAGAGGGGAAGAGGAGGGACTTAGGGACAGGTCAGCCCGGGGCCGAGACACAAGCAGGGTGTACCGAGCAGGTAGGCCCATCCATCTGTGTTGTGCTTTGACTGTGAGGCGGGACAGAAGGAAGGATCCCACATACTGTCCAATTCCACCCCAGCTCCTTGGGCGGATGGCAAATGGCAGAGGTGAAGGCCGTGGGGAAGAAAGGAGAGCTGAGCGTTCTCCTGGCTGTGCTGCAGGTGCCAAGAAGGTCTAGAAGCAGGTGGCACCGTGGAAGGGGAAGTTGGCTCGACAGGTCCAGTGGGTCTCAGGTCCAAGTCGAGAGAGCAGCTGGAGCAGAGCAGAGCCCAGCCTCACTCTGGCCTTCTCACAGAGCGGAAAAGGCAGGCGAGCAGAATGAAGCCACCGGGTAGCTTCTCTCCGAGTGTGCTCTCTGTGAGGGTGTGCGCTTTGTTTCTAGGTATACACAGTAGAGCAACCAGAAGTCGTTTCACCCACCTAGTTCACAAAAATCAAGCGAACCAACCATCACCAGTGCTCCGGAGAGGGTGTGTGGATGCGTGTTCCCGATCTGAGTTCAACTCAGGTTTCCATGCCCATATAGTCCTCTGATTTTGCCACTCTGGCTGGTTGTTACTAAGGCTGTATGTACCTGGAAACACGCCTCTGTGTGCCCTGTGTCTCATCACCTACTGTCCTCCCACTGCCACTTCTGTGGGCTCTCTGGAAGCATCCCATCCCTGAATCTAAATAGAACGAGGACCACATCCATCAGGGAGGTCAGTGACAGCCGCCAGCGCAGGCCAGCTGGGCAGGGCCTCAAGAACGACTCTACTAATGCCCCTCGCCTCCCAGGGAAATAGCTGCATTTAAGCACATTCAGCCACCCAAGCAGCCTTAAAATGACCATTATTGTCTCAGTTTGATAGAGGAGGAAAATTAGTTTTCAGAGAGTTATTTGTTCAAAGAGCACAGAGCTGGGGAACAGGGGAGCCAGAATGTTGAAAGGTCTCTCCCTGAAACAAATGCCCAAACATCTAACCATTGGCCATATACCCATACCATACAAAGCCATACCACCTGGCCAAGCTGGTGAGCCCTCTGACCACAGACGTCAGACTCGTGGAACCTCACACACCCACACTCACACTGCAGATAAGGTTGTTTTGTACTGAACCAGTGGCTGCCATGTGCTGGACCAGGCTCTGGTCAGCTGAGAGCAGCCGTGTGCATATTTTCCCAGTTCTGCAGTCAGGCTCTTCCTTGGGGCTCACTACATCATGGAAATCTATAGAGAGGTAATGTATCAGTCACCAGTGATCAGATTTGAACTGATGTTAGAACAAGGGTGTCCATCTGGAATGCGAGGAAGGTGGTAGATCTAGGAAGGAGGAGCTCTTCTTGTGCTGAGGAAACGGAAAGCTCTCGAGCTGGGTTTCTAGCTCAGCTGTACACTGCCTTCCTAACTCTAGGCTTTAGAGAATTCAATGGACATGCCTAGTACAGTGGGGGAAGATGGATAAGGAGGAATGAAACTAAAGAAATATGTGCCAGCCATGGTGGCACGGGCCTTTAATCCTAGCACTTGGGAGGCAGAGACAGGCAGATCTCCCTGAGTTTCAGGCAAGGCCAACCTAGTCTACATAATGAGTTTCAAGCCATGCATGATTACATAGTGAGACCTTCTCTCTCTCTCTCTCTCTCTCTCTCTCTCTCTCTCTCTCTCTCTCTCTCTCTCTCACACACACACACACACACACACACACACACACTGTGTGTGTGTGTGTGTGTGTGTGTGTGTGTGTGTGTGTGTGTGTGTGCGTATGTGTGGTCACACACACTTTCAAACTGTGATGCTATAGAAGATGCATCAAAGGGCATGATGGGTCAGAGAAGGTGTCTGTGAAGAGCAGACCTGGGTTGTTTTGCTTTTGGGACAGGGTCTTATTGTGTAGCCTAAAATAGTGTACAACCTAAGCTGGTCTTAAACTCAAGATCCTCCTGTCTCAGCCTCCTGAGCACTGGGATTAGAGATACATGCCACTGCACCCAGCTTCAGAGTTGCATAGGTGGGCAGCTGCTAGAAGCCGGAGCAGGCCAAGTGTGCAGCAGCAGTCAAGGGAGAAACAGAGAAGGCGCCAGCCAATGTCAGATGACGTGGTGCCTTGCTGGCCAAAGATGGGAATCGCGGCAGTGGGCAAGCCCCAGGAGTTCGTAGGGTGGTGGGTGGCTGTGTGCTGTGACAGTAGAAGGTGATTTTGACTTGTGGAGGGAAAAAGTAGGCTGGGAGGAAAGTGGTGAGGGCAGAAGCATGGGCAGGTCGGGAGCTCACATAAGAATGAGAGCGGATAGTACCTGGGCTGTGCCGAGGCCCGGTGGAGATGGATGGAGGACGTAGAAATGCCAGAGCAAGCTGGTGCGTCAGTAGAGGCTTCAAAGGAGACGGGGTGGTGGCGCTGAGGACGAGCTAGTCGTTAGCCAGGATCTGAGATGCTGAAGACAAGAAAGAGGCCCAAACTATATTCCCTTAGTTCAAACTCGGACCCTCTATTTACTACCATTTTGGCCCTAGGCAGGTGACTCAGTCCTTGAGGGCCTCAGAGTCCCCATCAGTAAAATGAAGATCACAACACATTCATAGGGTTGTCTGTGGGGTTTTTACAAGGGACTCTGTGTAAAATGTTTAGACTCACACCTGAGTATAGTAGATGCTACACAGAGGAAGCGTGTGCTCTTAATAGGAGTCTATTGGTAGGTCTCCGCCCCACCATTAAGAGACAAAGACTTTCCAGGCCCATGGCCCTTGTTTGGAAAGAAAATGTTGTGCAGAGCAGGACCCTGGGGAGGATCCTTCTTTCAAAGTGTTTGCATTCCCTTCCCCAGCGTGAACTTGGCAGACGAAGCTGTTCAAAGTAAACACAGGTTCCGAGCTCCAGCAAATACCAGGTTAGGCAGCGCGGAGGCAGCCACCCCAGCCCCAGGGCCAGCAGAGGAAATGGGCTGGCTATGCTGATCTCACCAGGCCCATGACTGCTGGCTTTCCCCGGAGGCAGGGCCTGGGCACCTGCGCTGTCTGGTCTTTTGACTGGAATGGCTAGCGATGAGTCACCGCTATCCCTCACTGCATCCTAGCCTGGGCTTGGTGAATCACAGTCTCCCAAACTTAACACCAGGTGGCAACAAGAGGTGGAGTCCAGGAGGGAGCAAGTTGGCATGGAGGGACAGGCGTACCCCAGGGTCACAATGTCATGTGAGAATGGAGGTCTACGGAGCACTGGGAGCAGGGTGGCGGGTGGAGGCGAGGCGGTAGGCGTGAGAGGAAGGAAGGAGGGAAAGCTGCAGATCTTAACAGAAGTCAACTCTGATTCAGCATCTTCCAGCTTCTGCTTCAACTCAGGTGTCCCTTGCCCTCCGACTCCACGACCCACCAACCTAGAAACTGACACAAAATGAATTAGAAAGGTAACAGGCTAACCCGCTTTCTTCCATAAACTTCAAATGTTTGTTTTCGTTACTTTTCTCATGCCTGCTACAAACCTCCTGACAAGAAGCAATTTAGGGAATTGCTGGTTTATTCTGGCTTATGGTGTGAGAAGACACATTCCACCATGGTGAGGAAGGCATGGAGGCAGGAGAGGGAGGCTGCCTGGTCTGCATGTGCAGTCAGGAAGCAGAGATCCTTGGATGCTGGTGCTCAACTCCCTTTGTGTTCAGTCCTGGACCACCCCAGCCCACGGAATAGTCCCACCCACATTTAGCATGGATCTTCCCATCTCTCCTAATCTCGATAGTTACTCACAGACACCCCCAGAAACTTGTCTCCCAGGTGACTCTAGATCCTGTCAGGTTGACAGTCATTATTAACCAACACAATCTTCGATACAATTGCTGAGCTACCTGCATGTGTTCTTACTCTGTAAGATTCTCCTGTGAGCACGAGAGTGGCCAATAGTATGTGGGGAATTGTCCTTTTAACTAGAGGAGCAGAGGTAAGAGAGGGGTGTCTGTAATATTGTGTGTGTGTGCCATGGTGCACATGTGGAGGTCGGAGAACAACTCCAGAGCAGATTCTCTCCTTCCACCATGTGGGTTTCAGGCACTAACCTTGGGTCATACTTGTTGGCCCTTGCATGTGTTCTTAACATTAGAGAAAGATGTGATTTTTGTACAGTGCCAGTCTTTATGTGGTAAAATATATACAACATGACATTTACCATCTTATCACTTGGGGGCTTACTGCTCAACGGTGTTAGTTACATTCACTTCATTGTATATCATCACCAACTGTTCATGTCCAGAATGCCCTCAGAGCTGACACTCTGTTCCCACTAAAGATTTTGCCGGATCCCCGACCCCAGCTTCCGACAACACACTCCTATGCCATAGCTCTAACTCTGACTACTTTAGATGTCCACAGGGAATCACGCATGCTGTCTCCCTTCCTGTCTGGTGTATTGTGTTTGGGGGCCCATTCATATTGTGGCACATGTCAGAATCCTCTTCTATGGGCGCACAATGTTTTGCTCATTTACTCAGCCAGCAATGGGCAGCTGCTTTGCCTCTGTTTTTATTATTATTGTTATCATTATTATTAGTATTGTGATGCCTCTTTTAGACTAGGTTTGAAAAAAATGATTAAAGTAAGAAAATTCCTTGACAATAAAGACATGGCTGTCTTTCCTCTATCCTGTGTTTTCGCATATCTCAGGGCTTTTGCAAATAAGATTTAAAGGGAAAATGGAAGTTGGGAGACCAAGAAGACTACCGTGTGCTTTAGGAGAAGATCCCCCAGTGTTCCATGTTTCAGAATCCTTAACATGTTGAGAAGTGAGGCTAAGTGTGGACAATGGCTTGTAAGAGAACATAGCAGAAGAAATATCTGTGGAATGCTCTGAACCCTTCCCCTTTCCTTCACTGTCCTGGAATTCACTATGACACCCAGGTTGGCCCTGTGGTGATCATTCTGTCTCAGCTTCCCAGGAGCTGGCATTATGGTGTGAACCACTGTAACTTACTTCTACGCTTACTTCTTACCCTTCTCTGTCAGGTAAGCACGATGCTCCTATTTTCCCCCTTCTTTATTCTACGCAATTCCAGTCTCCCAGCCCTTTACGCTCTACTTCCTTTTCCTTCTTGGATACCATCAAACTGCTCAGCAGAACAGAAAGCCCGCCCATACAGGAACATTTGCACACTTTGGATGTGAGGCATGCAGACTCACCTTCTAATGCACATTCTCTGATATAGGGTGGGGATGACAGCTGTGTGGCATGTGGCTGCCACTCCCCACTCCCAAACCCTAAGGCAGACATCACTAATTAATGGCCACACTCCTTCCTGTTGGAGCAGACTGGCCCAGAGTCAAGAGTGCAGAGCACCATGAAGCCATTCCCTGACCGCCTGGTCTCTCGTAGGAAATGCTACCTGCACTCTCCTTTCCCATAAGGTTCTCTTAACTTTACATATAGGAAGCCCACCCACCCTTGAAGGTAGGAGGCAAACCCAGTCTCAATCATTGGAGGAGACCAGAACTTGGTAAGGAACCTGAGGCTAGAATCAAGTCCTTTCTCTGGCCCTCCATTGCTTTTAAACTAGGCTTTTGGGTCAGGGGGTTCTTTCCCCTGAGTGAGAAGAAAGTGAGGCTCCTGACATGGATACAGTTCCATAGGTGGGCATGGAGGAACCATCGGGGACTCCAAACAGAAAGCCAACCAGTTTCATGGGTCTGCCTGTTTTGCCCTGCTGTCTGGGAGCTGTCAGTCATCATGGTTCCTATCTTGACTTGGGTATGACTGGAGCATTGCACATTCATGGAGAGGTCACGGCTTAACTCAGAGCCATTTATGGGAAAGACACTTTCTAAGCCAAAACAATGACAACAGACTTGGCCAGAGGAGTATGTATCCCGGAACAACAGGTTCCCCTAGCTCTTTGCTGAGTCGCTCTGCCATCCTTAAGGCCTTCAGCAAGACCCAAAAGGAGCAGGTGACAGGGTTCCAACTTGCCACAGAAAACAGACATCAGGTGCCACCCACTTCTTGGGCCTCATCCTACCTGTGTCTGGACCATTTGCCACATCCTAAGGGCTTGAGGTAGCCAGAAGGCCTACTGTGGAACATCGTGTCTGCTTGCCAGAAAGGGTGTGTGTGTGAATAAACCCATATAAAGTGCTTAATATGTGCTTATAATTTGTAGCCACCCTCACATTCCATCTTCAGAACAGCTGTGTTAGAAGAGAACCATCACCACCCCAAGGAAAACCTAGAACTCAGAGAAATCAAGGAGCTTCTTAATCACCCAGCTGGTAGGTAGGTAGGTAATCATCCAGAACTAGGATGCAGACCTAGACACTGTGGTACTAGGGATTCTCGGAGCCTATCACTTGGCTGCATTTCCTGTGGGAGTTGCTCATGGAGGGTTAGCCCTGGGCCTGCAAGGCTGAGCAAAGTCTGTGGAGAGTAGGCCAGGTTAAAAGAGCAAGCGCAGCCAGTTCAACCCGAGCACACAGAGGCAGGTCACATACATTCAGGGGACAACAGCTCTGGCCCTATGCTTCTCTGGGACCCTCCCCTTCCCCAGCACCCTGTTTCCAGCATTCCTCCTGGGTCTCAGAGCTGATGCTGTTTCCCAGGCAGCCATGCTGAGAAGCAGATGGTGCTGAGGGGGTGGGCACCTGACATCCCTACTCAAGCTTCCCTACAGCTCTGCTCCTCCTTTCCTGGCTCCCTACCCTTTAAGAAGCTCAACCCAGGAAAAACCTGTGGCTCTCCTGCAGAGTGCAGGTATTGGTCTTCAGCTGAAGGGTGTAGGTGGCATTCAGTTCCATGCTTGGGAAAGCCCTGAGGGTTTGAGCTGCTCACCACTGTCACTGGCCCCTTGATTTCTGGCTCATAAGGTGAAGATTCAAGGAGCAGCACATCTGAACTTCCCCCATCCTTAAAGAGATTGGTCATCATCTCTTTGAAGAGCAGAAATGTCTGACTGGATCAATTTAATAAGGAAATGTTTGGCTAGCTATTCTTATTCCTTTTTTTTAAACAAATAACTCTTTAAATCAAACTCTCAGACAAGAGTAAGGTGCTTACGATCTGTTACAAGCATAATTGAAGACGATCTCATTCCAGGGTTAGAAATCACAGCACTTCAAAGAAGGAAGTGTCTCTGGCATTCTCCTCACCCCCATCTTGAGACCTTTATCCCAGGCCATGACCTCTCCACACTGCACGGTTAAGTGAGGTATGATACCCTGCAAATAAAGTCAAACTGAGCTTCCCAGAGGTTAAGTAGCTGTGCAGGTTCGGCTGGCACAGTAGCAGTTCCCTCTGACCTTAAAATCACACCCTCCACCCTCCCCTTACTCTGTGCCCAACTTCTAATGCTTCATACAGCACACAGCATGGAGGCCAACACACATCCATCAATACCGAGCACAGTGGAGCAAGGTCACAGTGAGCATTTGCATAGACAGCTGTGTTTTCAGGGGCCGTCATGGTCCCTTCCTATTAGAAGGTTCTGTGCGGTGCCTCCCCCAGTAACCTGGGTGTGCAATGGAGATTAGCCTTTGCTTTCCTGCCGTCATCCAGGGAGACCTGAGGTGATGGCCTCCAGGATAGGTGGAGCTGAGTAGACTCCTCTCAGATTATACAGTGCAAGGTGTCATAACAGACTATGGGGTGTTGGTGGCTGAGGTCGAGATAATGCCCTTCCATCCTGCCTGTTTGTTTTGTTTTTTAATCTAGATGATACCGAGAAATGTTATGCATGCTAGCTAGGCTATTCTTGCTCACCTATCTCCCCTTCCCCCCACCTACACCTTCATCCAGCTTATTGAGCCCCCACCTGACCTTTCCTGGTGGCCAGTTGAACAGCTTTTAAAATGCTGATGCTCAGGTCTCACTCTGGCACAATCAGAATTTGGTGGGGTGAGGCCAACACTGATATTTTTATATCATGCTCCAGGTTATTTTTACATATAACCAGTGGGAAAAGCTGCTGATTCTAGTGAATTCAGAAGCCATTCCCAGCCTCCCTTCCTCCCACCACAGCTCCCCACCCACATATGATGACACCCAGCCCCTCTCAGCTTGTTGGCATTGTTGCTAACTCTCATGAAGATGCCAGTCCCCTGGGCAGAGTGGTGAGGTCCATCTTGCCACAGCCAGGTGCTCAGAGCTAGTCCTTTCTGCAGGGGCCCTGTTCCTGCCCATTGACCAACATGGCAAGACCAAGCTGGTGGGAAAGACAGTGCCATCCACTCAGGGCCAGAGCTAGTACTGGGCTCTCTGCACTCCCCACAGAAAGCTAAGCAGATGTACTCCATGCCCTTGAGATACTTGAGTCAGGCTGGAAAGATAGACAGTGAACAGAGTTGCATTATAACATCTGACCATACGCACATGTGGCCGATAGCACTGTCTTCAGGCCTGAGGATACTAGCAA